GGTGGGCTGCTGTGGTATCCCTCTCTGCCAAGGATGTTAAGTTTTATTATGCTATGGTCACTATTACCAAGCTGTTCAGACATATTCTCCTCTCGGACCAGATCCTATGCTTTACTTCAAACTAAATCAAGAATTGTCTGTCTTCTTGTGGGTTCTAGAACTAGCTGCTCCAAGAAGTCTCTAGAAACTATATCTCAGGATCCTATTCTGAAGTGACATATTCCCAGTTAATATGGGAATAGTTGAAATCCCTCATTAATATTGTTTTTTAAAAATTTTTATAGCCTCTCTAATCTCCCTGATCATTTCACAATCACTACCACCATTCTGATCAGGTGGTTGGTACAATATCCTTACTACTATATTCTTATTATTCAAGCATGGAATTACTATCCATAGACCATACTGTACTACGTTTATAATTGTTTATCACTGTATGCCAGAGACTATATGCATCTACAAAGAAGGAAGGTTGTTTCTAGCTCTTCTAGGAACATAAAACAGTGTACATGTGTGTGCATGTGGGGGGGATGGTTAAGGTAAACCACTCAGGTTGCAAACACCTCCAGAGAGGTATCAGCGCCTGGAGAGGCTTGCATATACAGATTCTGACTGGGCTTCCGAGTGACCAACAGACAAAAAAAAAAGGTAATGTGTAACTACTGGCAACACACATTCATAGCCCTTGGAGAGAAGCAAAGTGCAGGTGGTCACTAGGCAGACTGATTTGTTGGGGATATCACTGCATAGGACAGAGCACCAGCCAGCCTTAAAGGCCTTCAATCCAAAGGAAACAGGACAAGGTTACTTAATTGGTAGAATCTGCATCTGCAAAAATCAACTTGTATCCCAGCTGTGAGACATACTCTCTTTTCTTTTCTCTGTATCAGCACTACCCCAGCATGCTATCTCACAGTGCCTCTCAGCATGAGGGTCTGTGTGTGCACATGCATGTGTGCTATATATCGAATTGCAAAGGCAGGGAAGCAGCTGTCATAGACTATCAGGCCTCTTCCCCACCTTTGAGATCCTATATTTCCTCTCCTCCCATATAGAAAGAGAGGGGAGGTGATCGATCAAAAAGCAACTCTGCAGCTCATATTCTATGAGGTTGCTTCCCTGCCTTCCACCCTATATTCCCTCTCCCCACTAAACAGAGAAAGGGCAAATAATAGCTGCAGATAGCTACTTCTTGATCTATCACCTCACCTGTTTCTGTGAGAGGGGAAGGGAGGAAATATAGGATTTTGAAGGCAGGGAAGCAGCCTCATAGGCAATGAGCTGCTGACAGCTACTTCTTGATTTCATAGCCTCTCTGAAGCTGCTTCCCACCTTTGATATCCTGTGTTTCCTCATCCCTTATAGACAGAGAAAGGAGAAGTGATAGAGCAAAACAGAGAGTAAATTCCCCATGCTTCTATCACCACAGTTTAAGTAGCCAAGCAATGTAGGAAACCTCTCCCAACTTCATTGCCATATCATATCAGTTGAAGAGGGAGGCAGCTGCTTCTGCAAAGTCAGTCAAAGTTAAAAGCTGAAACATTTGGTACCATGCAATGTAGAAACAGATTTTAATGAGACTGCATATTTTTGTTAGCAGCTCATTTATGTCATCTATAAATTCATTTTGCACTCTTGAATGAATGCCATCCTCTGGTGGTGGCTTGTTGCTATTTAAGTGATCAGTCTGTTCTCACCTATCTAACTAAATCATCCTATAAATTCCACTTCGGATACCTAGATGGTAAAAGATTGTCTCTGCAACTTCTCCAACTTAATCTTTTGCCTTGCTCTCAGGGACACTGACTTTGCTGGGAAGTGGGAAATCTGTTGGCCCCCTGCTACCGCATGTGAGATTTATTCTGTTCCAAGGTAGGAAAGTCCTCATTGTGCTAACGATCTCAAGTCTTTCACTGCATTTGGTGAATTATGCACAATGCCAGACCTGACTCTGTTGCCACTTTCGAGGGAATTCCGTGGCAAAAAAATTAAAAATTCTGTACCAAAAAAAATTTCTGTGCACAGTATTTAAAAATTCTGCACATTTTAGTTGTAAAATAAATGTGGAGGCTCCTGCATGGCATTGGTGAGCACGGGCCACTGGCTGCATGGAGGTGGGAGATAACTGTGCAATAATTCTCTCCCCCCGGACAGGGACTCAGTGGTAAGTCTGCACCTAACCCTGACATAGCACAAAGACAGCCCTGCCTCAGAAATACACCAGGGCATTGCCCTTCTGTGCCAGGTGCTTCAGGCAGACTCAGCCCAGGAGGATCCAAGCGTGGATGGGCTTAGTATGGGGAGATCCAGGTGTAGATTGAGAGGGTTTTGTGTGAGGCAATCTGGGAGCAGGCAGCTCAGTGGAGAATATGGGCATGGGGGAAATCTGGGCACATAGGGGCCTGTTGGAGAGTTATGGGTGCAACAGTACTGACACTGCAGGGAGGTACCAGGTGAAGGTGGCTGGGGCTCTGGGTGTGGGGTGCTCAGTGGGAGTCACTTTCTGATTTAGGGTCTGATCCAGCAAAGAATAAATCACCCGAGTAATTTTACTCACATGAATAGCCTCATAGACCAGGCCCTTAAAATGTAAAGTTCACTTGTCAAATAATTAGGGATTTGTACAGATAGATTCAAGTTACCATAGTTTGAAATCAATATAGCAATATTTATGTGAAACCATCAAAATATTAGCAGTACATTTAATCAGCTGCCTTTCCTCTTCTAATAGGACTCAGATGAAAGGAAAACTAAGGAGGAGAATTCTTATTTGTTACTTTTTGGAGATATTAACTCTTTCAAACTGAATGGTGAGTTTTACAAAAAAAACTTTAAAAAGAAACAATGAGGAACTCTGACAAAGTGGTTTTTACCCACAAAAGTTTATGCCCAAATAAATCCGTTAATCTTTAAAATGGCAGAGGACTCTTTGTTGTTTTTGCAGATACAGACTATCATAGCTACCCTCTCTGAGACTTTAAAAAGAAAAATATACTAATTCATTTCCTAATCACAGGGTTTATCCCCCCAGTCAAAATGCATATTGACAAGTCCCACTTTAAGGTGTCTGAGTGGGTTTCAAAACACATGTTGTGGGAGTAATAGTTTTTTGTTCAGGTTGATAAGAAAACATTTTCAAAACCAGCTCACTTTGTTTTGTTTTGAGCAACCTAAACATCTCTTTTTGCTGGATTACTTATCCTGTTGTATTTATCAATCTTGGAACCAAGATAAAGAATATAAAGCCCACATAGCTGATGTTAGGAAGAAAGTTTCCTGTTACAAAGGGGCTTACATTAATTTTAATATTTAACATTAATATTTCCATTAATCACTCCTACAATACATGCACAGACCTTAATGTGTATTCATGGCATTCATGAATGCAAAAGCAGCTGTCCGTTATAAAACAGGCCACTTGGGTCAATGTTAGCACTCATGAGAGAACCAGTGGTTAACTGCAGTATAAAATTCACAAGCTGTTGACCCTGATAAAGCCTTCTAGATGAAATATAGAAGTAATAATTTTTACTGGTAATGAACTACTATACGTTTCTTCCTTCCCATAAATTTATTAGGGAAAATATTTTGTTCCAGACGGGGGGGCCGACAGTTTCTGGGGCCCTCGGGCAAGGTGTGTGGGGGATGACTCCGTGTCCTGGAAGGGGTGGGGCTTTGGGCGGAAAGAATGGGGCAGATGTAGCTAGCTCTCAGTGCCATCTGGACCAAGGCACTGCCGTCCCCACCCCCGACCCCCAGAGTGGTGCTCCAGCACTGAGCAGTAGCGGTGCCTAGAAGACCTAAGCCCCTTTGAAACACCGAGCCCTACTGAAACTGCCCCCTTGTTCCTCCTTCACCAGGTCTGGTTTCAGCAGTATCACCACTGACTCTTATGTGTTATCTTAGGGTGTGTCTAGACTACAAGGTTTTGTCGACAAAAGTGGACTTTTGTTGACAAAACATAACATCGACAGAACTCGGCAGTTTTGTCGACGGTGGTAAACCTCATTCTATGAGGAATAACGCCTTTTGTCGATAGAGTTCTGTCGACAGAAGGAGTTATTGCATCTACACTGTCCTTTGTGTCTACACTCTCATGTCAACAAAGCAGCTTGCTTTGTTGACAGAACTGGCTGTAGTCTAGACTCTCTTTGTCGACAGTATCTGTCGACAAAGCTTCTGTAGACAAAAGCCTGTAGTCTAGATGTACCCTTAGGGTGTGTCTAGACTACAAGGTTTTGTCGACAAAAGTGGACTTTTGTTGACAAAACATAACATCGACAGAACTCGGCAGTTTTGTCGACGGTGGTAAACCTCATTCTATGAGGAATAACGCCTTTTGTCGATAGAGTTCTGTCGACAGAAGGAGTTATTGCATCTACACTGTCCTTTGTGTCTACACTCTCATGTCAACAAAGCAGCTTGCTTTGTTGACAGAACTGGCTGTAGTCTAGACTCTCTTTGTCGACAGTATCTGTCGACAAAACTTCTGTCGACAAAGAGCGTCTAGACACATTCAGTTCTGTCGACAAAGCAAGCTGCTTTGTCGACAAAACCCTGTAGTCTAGACGTACCCTTATAGAACAGAGATGTCAAACATATGCAAAAAAAATACTACAGTAGACCTTACAAATTTTAATAGTTGGTAACACAAAAGGGTTCAAAGCCAAGTAGTTCAAAATGGATAGGCTTTTAAAAAGTTAGGCTTCTAAATAAGAGGCCTGATTTTCAAAAGTGCTAAGCTTCCAGCAGTGTGCACTGTCTTCAACAAGAGGTGCCAGGTGTTCAGCCATTTAAGAATCCAACCATTTAGGTGACAAAGTATGCATGTAGGAAACTTGCGTTAGGATCCCATTTTGAACACATTGGTCCAATTGCTTAGATGATCTTTTCCATCTCCAGCAACTATAAGATTAACATTTCAATGACTAAGTCTACACAAAAACACATTTCACCACTGAACAATAAATCAGACTAGTCTAGTATTCCTTCATACATACCAGTGTTCCATTTTCGCTTGTCCAAGGACTGGGATTAGACTCAAGTCTAGTGACACAAACCACAAATTTGTCTGGAAATACACGCAGATCTATGTAAAACAACAAACCCCAAAAGGATTACATGTATCTTTCTATATAAAATACAGTTTTTATAAGGGCAACTACACATGAATGACATTTTGTAAATCAAAGCAGCTTGACATTTTAAAATGCACAATAATTCTTTTCTCCCACCGCACTGTTAGCAATTTTGCTCTCTCTCCTCCCCTCTGCACTTTTTAAAAACATTCAGTTATCAATAGGGCAGAGTAAGATCCATTCTCCAGAGAAAAGACTAGGATGCAAATTAGTCCACCTGAGCCCTGGACAAGTATATCACATGGAACCCCACAGGCAAGTCATACAGTATGATTTCCTTTGTGCTAGTCTGATGATTAACCTTTTCATCTCAAATCTTTAAGTCATGTTTATAGTACCAGTATAATGTATTGGATTAAAATTGGACAAAACATGGCATATGGAAAACATCTTTCAGACTATGACTAAGGTGATTTTCAAGTTTTAAATGATTTTACTGTTTACTATTGTGATCTTACACCTACTCTTAGCAACATAGTGCCCAGATTTAACAGAGAACAACAAAACTTCTTAACCATCTGAGATTACTAGAGAGAAGAGGATTTAGTAATAACAATTCTGTACCAGTGATAAGATTAGAAAACATCAGGTATCACTCAGTTTATCACTGTGAACTGTCATTCATGCTTAAATTCGACACTTTACGCCTAAGTTTGAATAAAGACTTTAATTATCTTACCCATTACAAAGATAGCTTCCCCAGTTATCACCTCTAATATCATTAGCTCACAGACATTTACCTCCCCCCCGCATCCCCCTTCTGTTCTGAAATTTGATTTGTCCTTTTCATATGTGTTCATTTTTTTAATTGTATCCTTTGGTATATATGGTTGTGACAATTTTCTTCCACTATTTGATCTGAAGAAGTGGGTCTGGCCCACAAAAGTTCATCACCTAATAAACCATCTTATTAGTCTTTAAAGTGCTACATAGTCCTGTTTTTTGTTTCAGCTACACCAGACTAACACGGCTACATTTCTATCACTATTTTAGTGAAAACCTGAGTGAAAAAAATACCATATTTTTTTACACACACACACACACACACACACACACACACACACACACACACACACACACACACTTGTTTTAGCAAGAGGAGATTATTTTCACGTCGGTTAAAATGGCACACTTTTATTTAGGGTTTTTATGTGAAATTACCAGATTTTTATAACAATGGGCCAGAACACCTTGTCTTATTGAAGGGGAAGACGTAAAATTAGCAGAAAAACTATTTCAAAGTTTCCTGCCTCAGAACATCCCACCAAAGAGCAGCAAACAGGGGAGGAATATGTCTGTTCACATGTCTATTTTTTCACTGACAGTATGCTCTGTGCAGCCATTTGCCTAGTCCTCCTGTGGGTGCTAAGCAGGAGCCATGAAAGTAACTTTCTGAGTTCATGCTGTATTAATTACAACTAGATCTGTGGGTTAGTGCTGTGGCTTGTAGTCAGACTCCCTGTTCTTCTGGTCTCACCCACGCACCCGGCAGAGCTCCAAGCAGAAAGCCTCCAGAGGATATAAAGAATGGTGCTGGGATGGAAACAGTAATCCCTACCTTTTGCACAGGAAGGAAAAGATGCACATGCAGAAGGGTTGATTCTAGCGTCAGATATTAAGCATTCTGACAGTGTGTTATTTCAGCTTTGACCATAACATGAAGCAGTGCAGCTTGAGTATCAACTGCAGAGTACAGAATACTATGTAGATGATAGTCAATGTGTGCTTCTCAGTTGTGGTATTATATGTATTACTAAAAGAACGCTTGAAGCCAAAATGTTTATTAGCTCAGGAAATATATTTATTGGTTTACAGCAGCTGCTTTTATAAAACATTCATCATCATCATCATCAAAGAAACAACAAATTTTGGCCACTGTCTTTCAATGACTTCTGTACGGGAGCAGGAGGCTCTAATTATGTGGAGATCATTACAGGATCGCAGCCTTAGAATTTGTTCTGATAGTACTGGTAGATCAAATATATTTTAGTTTGGTTATTTTAGCAGTTACATGTTGCCAGATGGTTTCTTGCTAGTTAATAAAACAAATCTGTCACTAAACTACAATACTTCATGTAAAATGCCAATAAAGCTTAGATCCAAAACAACTGAAGTTTTGATGTAAAAGACATTATTACATTATAATCTAATATTCCAAAACAGCCATGAAAACATATAGTACAGCTTTGCTGAAATATTTGAAATCAATACTCTAATCTCTTCACTCAATGGGAAGTTAGACAAAACTAGTAATTATTTAAAACAGAACAGATTTAATAAATGTTCATAAACATAGCAAATAAAACCCTATAACATATAAGAGACATTACAAGCAGTTAAGTTATTCAAGCAGTTAAGCATGTAAAGCTGCTTAGTTGATTTTCTTTATTTTTCTTTTAAATTCAAAAGATCAACTGAAAGGGCAGTGATTGTTATGGTTCCTTTTTTATTGTTGTTGGAGCAATAGGATTGATATCACTTCCTTACAGAGCATCTTGGCTTGGAAAAACATGAAGAAGAAAAATATCTGGCCCAATGACATCACCTACGTGAAGGTTTTACAGCAGTGGGTTGAATGAAAGCTTTTGTTTGCACACGCTTGTACCATACAGTTGATGGCACAAGATACTCAAACAATAATGATGTGACTCATTGGAGTGCAACCTCTCTTTGATTCTCCCTGTAGAGACTCAGTAAAATGCTGAGCCTCGTCACAAAAATAAAATCTGGTATGGCTGAGCTGATTATTCTGGGACAGGCGGTAAGCAACTTTCAAGTGAAATAAAACAACTGTTTGGAAATATTTTCGATAAAAAAGCCAAAATAACAACAACAGAAACTAATGAAAAGAATCAAAATTCTAATAGAGATACTGTTATTATGATCCCTTCCATTCTCCCAATTGTGCTAAATGTTAAGTAATTGAATAAGAAACTGCCTGCTTACCACGAGACTGCTGCCCCACAACACAACGGAGATTGACCCATCTTTTTGTAAAGTAGGCTGTAATGTAAAAATTGCCACCTGCAACATAAAACAGAGTGATGTAATAAGTGTAAGGGTATTCTGTTCTCACAGTATGCTACACATCTCCTATGAAGTTCTCCTGATTGTCTGGGGGAAAGGAAACGAAAAGCTCTCACTTACAAGATGTGCATCTCTTCAAAAGAAACATTTTTAATAAAAACTACTTAGAATTAAGAATAAATGAATGTACAGTGCAGTAAAAACACACACTGGTTTTTAAAACCACTCTCAAATCACAGAAATTAATTTCAATTAATTCATTGCCCACAGAAAGTGCCAGGCAAACAGGTCTGGAGACTAAGACTTGTTCATTGTGACCTCCTTGTACCCGCACAAATCAAGAAAGCAGCTGGAAATGTTCTTAACTAATTGCTTTTAAATGAAAGATGCTGGCTTGTATAAACATATAAGCAGATTCTGAAAGGTGCTAATCATTTGCTAATCCCATTCACTTCAATAGAAAAAGTGAGTGGCGCTGCACCCTTCAAGATCAGGCTATATTTATTATAAGAAGATTTATTACAAGATTTACCAGTGTTGCTCTAGTCCTTAACTTGATTAATTTTTGGTTTTCTGAAAAACAAAATGAAAACGTACATGCTTCACTGAAATCATTGCTCAGGGGTGGGACTGAGGATGAAGGGATGAGTATGCAGGCTACCCTAACCCTCTTTCACAACAGCAGTGTGGGGTCAAGTGAGAAGCACCTCTCCATGGCTACTACAGCTCCAGCCAGCACAGCCAAGGGAAGGTACATGTCTCCCAGCTGCAGCAGGTCCAGCCAGCGTGAGGAGCACAGCAAACGGTACACTTTCCCCTTGCTCTCTAACAAAGAGGAACAGCCAGTAATGTCCCCATATGAATCTGGGGAGTAGCTGTTTCAGCAATGTCACGGTATGAATCTGGAGGTGGGACAGCCCCTTTCACCTTCCTGGTGATTCTGTCTCTTTTCTGTATGATTTTATGAGAAGCAATCCCATTCCAGGCATGTCCCATTTCTTTGGCACAACCAAACCCCTACCTTGCTTTCAGTTAAGGTAAGAGGAAGCTGCATACCGAATTTGATGGTCTTGTTGTTTAGAAAGAGTTCTTGAACAAACAGAGGAACAGACAGACAAACTCCTCTCAAATATATAGTGGATAGTGATACACTCTATGTCAGGGCTATTCGAATGATTTACATCAAGTCTTGAATGGCCTGAAACCTCTGGAGGGGTAAGTGTGCTCTGGCGGTGTTTGCAGCTAGCCGGGCACCGATGAATTCTAGCTCTTGAGTAGGATGAAAAGTGAACTTTGGGTCATTGATAAGAAGTCCGAGAGTGTGGAAGGTTCTCATCATGGAATGGATATATTGAGCACTTCGGTACGCGAGTGACCCTTCAGTAGGCAGTCGTCTAGGTAAGGAAATATGATTATTCCTTCTTGACAGAGGTGTGCTGTGGCAACCGCCACGATTTTTCAGACTACCCTGGGGGTGAACGAGAGGCCAAAAGGCAGGATTTGTACTGGTAATGATACATGCCAACTGTAAACTGTAGGAATCTTCTATGTGCTGGATGGATTGACATATGAAAATACGCGTCCTGGAGGTCGAGGGCAGCAAACCAGTCATCGCGATCCAATGTGGGTATTATAGCAGCAAGTGTCAGCATCTTGAATAGTTGTTTTCTTAGAAATCTGTTCAAACACCGGAGATCTAATATTGGTTGCCATCCTCCTAACTTTTTTTGAGTGAGAAAATAATGGGAACAGAAACCTTTGCCCCTGAACTCATCTGGGATTGATTCTACTGCACCTAAAGAGAGCAGGTGGTCGAGTTCGGTGCGTAATGGCCTCGTGAGATGGGTCCCTGAAGAGGGACAGGGTGGAGGATAGTGGGGGGAATGGTGAGGAAGAGTATGGAATATCCGAATTGAACTATTTCCAACACCCACTTGTCTGCAGTGATTGTGGCCCATTGGTGGTAAAACTGCCTTAGGCATTGGTGGAAGAGGTGGAAGTGGTGACTGCTGCTGTTGTAGGAGACAGCATACCCCAGACATCATACCAAGACATCAAACCTGCTGTTTGTTGTTTAGTGGGGTTTGTGTACAGTTGTCCAGGTTTCGACGCCTCTGGGGTCTTTGGCACGGACGTTCCTGATTGAAGGTCTGTTGTTGTTGCTGCCACTGCTGCCTGATATATGGGTAATCGTAAAGCCGTTGGTAAGGTGTATAACAACGTCTCCTGTATGGTGGGGTATACATACCCAATGTCTGAAGGGTTGTGCGTGAGTCTTTGGATGAATGTAATACGCTATTTGTATTTTCGGCGAATAATTTGTCTCTGTCGAATGGTAAGTCTTTGACTTTATTTTGTAGGTCTTTTGGGACTTCCACTGCCTGGAGGTAGGATGCTTGTCTTACGACTACCGCCATAGCCGTGGACTGGGCTGCTGTATCCGCTACGTCCATTGCTATCTGGAGTGCTGTCCTTGCCGATGTGTAGCCCTCCTGCACAACTGATTTTAATATGGACCTTTTGGACTCTGGTAGATGGTCCAGCAGTGGTGTCAGCTTTGTCTTGGCTACTCTACATATGGCCCATGGCCTGTTTGTTTGCGGCCTGCAGCGCGGTTTGGATTTATGCAGGGCTCAAGACACAGCTTGCAGGTGGGAGCCAAAACAAAAAAGTAGTCAATATAATGGTTTTATGTTGAGATGTGTTATAGTAGTTAAATTCCTGGACTGTCATTAATCATTAAAAGTGCTGTCTGGTGGAAATCAGGTAAATATTGCATTTTATTAATATCAGCAGAAATGACATAAATGGGGCCTGTGTGTTGTATAGTCTTGCCTTAATCTTTGTATTCACGCCCGTCAGTGTGAAAGAAACTATTTGCATGTATATGCAACCACAGCCCTCGGCATGTGCTGTAAGAATCACTGTGGCTCCCGCGCCATCGTAAATGCGGGCTGAGGACATAAGTCAGGGATTTTCAGCCCCTTCCACACTTACAAAAATGATTATTTCACACTTATAAAAATGGTTGTAAATGCGGGGGGTTGGAACTTGGGCGGTCACTTGGGAGTTTCCTGTATTCCAGTTGGGAGGGATAGAGTGCAAAGGAGTCTCGTTCCCAGTGGCTAACCAGACTTAGTATCCATGTGTTCTAAAGTTTCTCAAGGCTAGGAAGATGGTCTTGTACACTGGATTGCAACTCCAACTGGATTCTATTCTAATCTCTGCTTTGCCATCAAATTCCTGGGGGACCTTGGGGAAAGCACTTAGTTTCTCTGTGCCTCAGTTCTAACTGTAAAGTAGGGGTGATAATTCTTCCCTAGAGTTTACAAGGTTAAACTCACTACTGTTTGCAAGGCACTCAGATACCTGGGTGACAAGTGCCATAGAAAAGTTTATAAATAAATATTGCCATTCTCAACTGTAGAAAAACAGCAAGGGAAAGGTTAGGACCATATATCTCCGTCCAAATTCTAGGCAGAAGATCTAACCAGGTTCAGAGGGCTTGGATGTCGGCTCTAGAACAAGGGTGACAATACAGTTTCATTCCCTTCCGCATACTCAAGAGCTTTCCAGCTTGCAAAATGCCTCAGAGCAATTCCTGCAGTGATGTTCGACCACACCATCCTTTATGCAATACCAGGCCTATCTACCATAATCAATCTCTAAATAATTTATCAGCCATCTTTTTCCCTTAAGAAGGCAACTAAACAATCAAGTTGAGATGCATCAAATAAAACCACGCTTTAAAAATCAGGGAACACTTTGGAGACTTTGGATGAGGTCCATCACCTTTAATAGTTGCATATATATAGCACATGATTAAAGAAAATTATTGTTAGCTATTTCCAGTTTGGCACCTACTATCCGTTTGACACACTGTCAGTGAGGTTAACCAAATCAAAGACCACAAGACTTTGCACTTTCTATGAACAAATTATAATTGTGACAGTATAATGACTTCCACTGTGAACTCAGTAACAGTAAAACAGAGAGATGCCTGTAAAAACTAGAGCTGGCCAAAAAACAAGAATTCTGTTTTGTGAAAAATGTCAAGGTTTCCAAGTTTGTTTGTTTTGCATCAGAAATGAGACCTCTTAAAATTTTTCACATAAAGCACGTGAGAGCAACCCTCCGCAACAGCCAAAAGCCAACAGTCTGAATCTGCCCCATTCAGAGTAGGGACTTGTATCTGGATCTCTTATGCCAGGTGAGTGCTCTGGCTAGTGGCTCTTCTGGGGTGGAGGAGGGCCCTCTACATACCTGGGTAAACCTTTGTAACAAATCTTTGAACTAATCTGATACATTTCCACAACTTTCCATTTTAATGAATCAATATTTTCAGATTAAAAATGTTCCCCTCTAAAACAATCTTGATCAGCTGTAGTAAAAGTCCAAATTAACAAACCGGTCTCCTAATGAAATGGATAACCAAATGAGGAAAGTCTCTCTCCTAAATGTACTTCAGAACAAGCACATCCATTTGATCATACTTTTTATTTAAACTTCAAACAAAAGGTGATAATCTTTTACATTTCCCAATTCTAAAACACAATGCTTCATCCCCAAGATTCTTTTAAGAATGGGAGCGGCATGTATTATCTGTTTAGTTTCCCCACCGCTCTGGTGTTCTGTAAGAAGCAAGACTTCAGTCAACTAACAACCTGATCAGAGTTATAAATTGATCTTAAAGACCTTTAGGATTTACAATATGTCTGCTCTTGGGACTAGGACGATCAGTTCATTGATAGTTTCATTTCAGTTGAGACTTGCTTGTGCATGATTTTAAGCTGATTTCTGTTGATGACAGTCATATAGGATATGTCCACAACACAATTTGAGATATTGTTAAAATAGATCTCTTTAATTTTGCTCCTTAATTGATTCTTCCATTGTGGAACCTTTCTACCAGCAGATCATAAAGCTCAATTAAATACCATTCTGCTGATCAGTCTGCAGGTGTATCAGCAGCTCTAGAAGCTAAAGTTTTTCACTTA